AAAATTTAATCTAATCATTTTTTTTAGTGTTGGTAGGATTTTCTGGTGAAATACAAGTATCTTCACTATAAGATATAAAATAAAAAATTAAAATGCGTTAGTATAAATGGAATATACAAATAGAATATATGAATAGAATATATGAATGGAAGATATAAATAGAAAATATAAATAAAATATATAAATAGAATATATAGAGTATGTAAATAGAATATATGATATAAATGATGTAAAATTACTCACTCTTCGGTATCACTTCTAGTATCTTCGGCATTCTTTCCAGAAACAACTCTATACGCAATTCGTAAAATGAGGCAGAACCAATAAATCATAAGGATTTGTAATAAAGTTAATCCTAATAAAATAATATATTTTGTCCACCAGGTAACCCAATAACCTCTTAAAGGATCCCAAATACATTCATTATTTTCGGGTGCACATGATTCAAAATATGTGGAATACATAATCCATCCATATAAATAATGTCTCGTATAAGCCCATGTCATCATAAAAAATACAAACATCACATCTGTAACTCTTTCTGGAAATTTCATATATTTCATACTTTTCGCAAGCTACCCATTTTTTTTTTTTTTTTTTTGTGAGGTAACGGTGACAGAGAGAATTCAATGAGGTGGGTGACACGAAGAATTCAGTAAGATATTATAAAGGTGACATAAGAACAATAAGGTGACAGGGAAAAATATAAAATAATGTAGATAATGTTAAAAAATAAATCAGCAAAAATGATTATTATGTGATAAGTTATGGAAAAGGTTCGAGATCACAAATTGATTGGCTTCATTTACAAAAAAATTAAGGCCACAATACTTGTGTTTCAAACAACTTCTTTCTTTTCCCTTCCTTTCCTTTCCTTTCTTTCCCCCTCTCTCACTCTCCAGGCCACGTTATTTTTTTGATTAAATACGGTTAATTACTCACCGCAAGCCAAATATCCGAGAAATCCATCGACACAAATACGGCATTTCCAATTCGTGTCAAATTGAATAAATAACTCCCACTAATTAATAAACATGTTATTATGTGATGAGCCACCAATTCAAGAAAATCTTTTCGAGGTTTCTCAAGTTGAAGTATTAATACTAATATTTGTTGAAGCCAGAAAGCGAATTGAATGAGGTAATAAGATTTTACAAGTGGTGTAAGTAAATAATGGGGATAATCGATCCAAAAGTGCTTCGTTTCATAAAACCAACAAGGACTATCTCTCATGATTTTCTATAATAATAATATAATAATAATAATAACATTAATAAAAAAAATTAAATAAAATAAAATAAAATATATATATATAATATTTGTAACCACGTTCTTTAATAAAAATAATAATAATAATAATAATAATAATAATAATAATACTTACTAAACCAATTGTACACGATATAGTACAATATATTACAACATAACCTTGTTCCATAAATCTAGTCACCCTCCTTGGTTTTCTAATACCTGCCCATATACCGAATGGTTTTAATATATATTTCATTATGAATTCTCGAGTCAAAGTGAAAATTATCACCCAAAAAGCGATGAAAGCGAAATCCCAATATCCCTTTCCATAAACTACAGATGACATCATTCCTCCATCATCATCATAATCATCCTCATCCCCAGGAATCGAATGATTATTTAATTGTATTGGATATGAAATGAATAAGAATTTCGAGAATGGATTAAATGAAGTAGGTGATACGATATATGAAAGGAAAACTGCGGATATGATCTTTAAAGGTATTTCTATTTTTAATGATGATGATGATGAAATGATTTATTTGAAATTTATTATTTTGAAATTATTTTAAAAAAAAATAATTTATTTTATTCAAATTCGATTAAAAAATCATTAATCCATCATCAATTTATCATCATTTCATTGAATCCATTAAAATTATTGATAGATGAATATTGTGATGAAAAAAAAAAAAAACGTGCCGATATATATATATATATATATAAAAAAAGAAAAAAAACTATTAGTACTGTATTTA